GATAGAAATATGTACTTGTATACCAAACTGAACTTAGCTTTAGTAATATCAAGCCAATAGACCTTAAGGGGAAAAAAAGATTTTTGGGAAAGATTAAGGGGAAAGAAAGATTATTACACAAAGAGTTAGAAAGTAATATTGAGGATACTTTCCAGAAAGCACAGCAAAAATAAATAAATAAAATATTTGGAAATAGGAAAAAGGGGGAAACCCAAGGAAGTTAGAGGACATGTCCAGTAAGCATAATATCCAAATAAAAGAAGGATGAGTAAGAGAAAAAGCAGAGAAAAGGGCTGGAGGGTGAAGGTGAAGAACATAGGGAAAAAATCAATATATGATCCTTACAGATTGAAAAGGCAACCCTGTCATCGCTCAGCAAAACTAATAAACACAGACCCACTTGAAGGCATATCATGAGTAAGTTTCAGAACTATGGGACAGAGAAGATACCCCAAATTTTCAGAAAGAGAAAACAGGTCACATGAAAAGTATCAGAAATCACAATGGCTTCAAGCTGCTTAACAGAATTATCAGGAGGTAGACTGCAGAGGCATTATGACTTTCAAAATCCTGAGGAGACATTATCTCCAGCCTAGAATACTGTAGCTAGTCAAACTGTCAATTAGGTGGGTGGGTAGAAAGAAGATATAAAGACAATGATGTTAATAGACTATTGTTTTCATTAATGTAACAAGGAGAGATTTAGACAACTGAGCTCATAAGTACATAAAACTAAGCAAATGATAAAACCAGACAGTTATCAACTCTCGGAAAAATGGAAAGCACAGCAATGGAGAAGTAATCATAGCATTATAGCTGAAATTCAGCTATAAATACCACATTTCTAGTTATAGTGATATAAACACCACTATTTATTGAACCAAACGGATAAACATATTGTGAGAATGAACATAGTACATGCATATAGTGAAGGCAGGTGAAAAAGGAGAGGTTAAAACCACAAACTCCATAGTGAGAAGTCAAAGACAAGGCCTAAAACTGAAAAACAAAAAGGTAGATACATAATCTTACTGTCTGGTGACATGGAAGCAGATAATAAAAGAATCCTCCAAACAATTCAAAGTAGCTGCCTGCAGGCGGTGAAAGACAAATACCATATGATCTCACCTATAACTGGAACCTAATCAATAAAACAATCAAGCAAGCAAAATAGAACCAAAGATATAGAAATAAAGAACAAACTGACAGTAACCAGAACGGAAGTGGGAGGGGGTAATGGGGAGGAAAGGGGGAAGGGTTTTCTGGAACATGTAAACAGGACAGACGCATGGACAAAACCAAACATGGGTAGGATCAAGGGTGAGAAGTGGGGATGGCTGGGGTGGGGAGGAATGGTGGGATGGGGAGGAAATGGAGACAACTGTACTTGAACAACAGTAAAAAATGTGGAAAAAAAGAAGTGGCTGCCTTTAGTTTCTGACCTTTTTAAAAATTTTTTATTATTGTTGTTTAATTACCATTGTCCCTGTTTTCCCACTACTACTCTCCCCTGCCCCACCCACCCCCCACCTCCCACTTTCAATCCTCAACATCCTCCCCACCACTGCTGTCTTTGTCCATGGGCCCTTTATACATGTTCTTTGACCCTGTTCTTTCCCCCATTATCCCCCCTCCCTTCTAGTCACTGTCAGTTTATTCTTTATTTCCATGTCTATGGTTATATTCCACCCACTTGTTTGTTTTGTTGATTAGGTTCCACTTATAGCTGAGATCACATCATACTTGTCTCTCACCACCTGGCTTATTTCACTTAGCATAATACCCTCCAGTTCCATACATGCTGTTGCAAAGGGTGAGAGTTCCTTTTTTCTTTCTGCTGCATAATATTCCATTGTGTAAATGGACCAGTTTTGTGATCCACTCATTTACTGATGGGCACTTAGGTTGTTTCCAGCACTTGGCTATTGTAAACAATGCTACCATGAACATTGGGGTGCATAGGTTCTTTTGAATTGGTGATTCATCTTTTATACAACTAGATATTGCCCATTATTTTTCTTTATTAACGTTTTTATTGATTTAATCTTTATTGTATTTTTCCATTACCATTTAGTCCCCTTATACCCCCCTCCCACCAGCAATTACCACAATGTTGTCCATGTCCATGAGTCCTTTTTCCGTTTTTTCAATCCCTCTACCCCCTCACCTCCTTTCTGCCAGCTGTCATCCTGCTCTCCATCTATGAGTCTGTCCTCATGTTCCCTGTAAGTTCAGTTTATTCATTAGATTCCACATGAGTAAAATCATATGATATTTATCTTTCTCTGACTGGCTTATTTCACTTAGCATAATATTCTCCAGGTCTATCCATACTGTTGCAAAGGGTAAGATTTTCTTCTTTTTTACACCAAATGGTATTCTATTCATATTCACTGTGTAAATGTCCCATACTTATTTTATCCATTTATCTACTGATGGACATAGGCTGCTTCCATGTCTTGGCAAAACCAGAACAAATATTTCAAAAACTTATATGGAACCACAAAAAGTTCCACATGGCAACAGCAACCCTGAGAAAGAAGAACAAAGTTGGAGGATCATGCTACCTAATATCAAACTATACTATAAGGCCATAGTGATCAAAACAGCATGGTACTCACATAAAAACAGACACATAGATCAATGGAACAGAATAGAGAGCCCAGAAATAAACCCACAATTTTATATTCAATTAATATTTGACAGAGGAAGCAAGTACATACAATGGCCTAAAGAAAGTTTCTTCAATAAATGGTGTTGGAAAAATTGAACAGATACCTGCAGTAAAATGAAACTAGACCACCTTCTTCCACCACACACAAGAATAAATTAAAAATGGATCAAAGACTTAAATGTTAGACCCAAAGCCCATTATTTTTCATAGAGTTTCTACCAACTTATATTCCCTTGAGCCATGCATGAGAGTGCCCACACTATCACTTTATCAGTTCAGGTCCCCTAGAACTGATGTCAAGTCAGGGTTAGATATACACAAATTTTACTGAGATAAATGCTTGGGAGGAATAAAGGGAGGAGGGAAGTGCCTTCAGACCACAATGCTGTTCTGGCATCTGTAAGGAGGGAAAGAAGGATTGGGTAGGAAGAGCGTCAGACCACAGTACACGTATATGGGGAGTCCAGAGCAAAAGTTGTTCAACAGGGCAAATTCTTCATTGATCAGGAATAGGTGAAATATAATATCACCACCATATTCAGTCACTGAAGACATCCTTGGCTTTGGGGAAATATGGCTTCAGTGTGTAAACCACAGCAGATCAGAAAATGCAGCCACTGTTGGTTAACTGTGTTCAGTGGTATGTTGGTGAATGATTAACAAGTGGGTCTATGGCAAGTTTAAAAAAAAAGTCTTTGTTTATATCATTTGCATCTTTTTGGGTGTAAATCTGCCCTATGGGCAGTTTCAAGCCACCCATGTGACAGTGTGATGGCTCACTGAATGCTGAGTTTGAAAGAGCGGCTAACCAAGAAGACACTAACTGTGTTCCATGTGACAGGTTTTCCTTAGCCACCGCACTCACCAACCTAGTGTTAATACAGATTTTATCTTAGCACTGTGATAACCAAAATACTATTTCACTGCAGTTTGTAGTTTTTCTTTGTATTTTCCTTAATATGAATGTGGCTAAGGATCTTTTGATATATTTATATATTTTACCAAATGCATTCATTGTTATGAAACACACTTAATGTATTTTCTTCCCTATGAATTGATTATTTTTACTGAAATCTTTATGCCTATGTTCCAAATAACAAAAAATCTTAATGTATTTATTTTAATGAATTCATCCATTTAGTACAAATTATAGAAAATACTGCTTATTATCTCCTCATCACATGATTAGCATTTTCAAAATTAACTCCTCTCAACCCTTTCCAGAGGGTAAAGAAGAAAGAATGTACCTTTAACAGCTTGATGTAGGTAAAATCTCTAATTAGAAAATAAATTACTATGATTCCTTTTTTCCCATAATTTTAAAGTAACAATTAAATGTAGAACATTAAATATAATGTCTACATGCAACTTTCAGGCAAATAGGTTTTTTTAAATATACTTAAAGTTGATTGAATGTAGAAAGTTTATGAGGAAAAAAGTCACTAAGGAAAAGTTTAGACCTACCTCCCAACACACATAAAATAACAATAATAGCAACAACAGTGTAGTGGAGAATTTTCCATCTCAACAGTCTACAAGGAGAGAGTAGAATCTTTAGGAAAAATACGTTTGTAGTATTATCATTATGAACACATTTTAATAATATATTCTATATTGCCTCACTTATATATTGTTAGTTGAGATTATTGGCTGCATCCTATTAGCTTGGTATAGCAAGTTGAAATTATCCACTACTAAATTAGAGCCTAAGAAGCTCTAAATCAAGTTGTCTTTTAAGATATCATACATCTTTTAAGTATTCTTATTGCACAGGTAACACTGAATTAGCAGAACCCTCAATCAGACCAGGCATCAGGAGACATCTAATACAATCACTAACTACAACTTTACTTAAAATTTAAAGTAAAAGCTATAAAGAAGGAACCAAAAAGGCAAAAATTCAAGAATTGCTTTACCATAAAAGTTTTCCTATCTTTATGTTAATACAATCACTTTTAACATATATGTCTATCATATATGGTAGCAAAATTCTATGGATACATGCGGTTTTAAAATGCTACAGTTTTCCAAAGTAAATATATCTACTTAATCATCTTTCAGTCAATTATCTAGTTTATGAACTGTTTGACTCCAGTGTGGCTGCTTTCCTTCTGTTCCACCTCTTCCAAACACAGCCTCCAATTCTTCCAACCATAACTACAGACATTCTCCTAGTAATTAGTATTTTTAACCAGAAATCAAGTAGGAAAAGCAGATAAAAATTAACTGGTGGCTAAAAAAATTTAGATTATCTTCAAATTACTTTTATCTTAATTTTCTCAAAACATGATACACAGTGCTCAAACAAAAAAAAGAAGAAACTCACCTCATCCACATTTTCAAAGGCATTGATGATGTCGTAAGGTAAACAAGACAACAGATCTATCACAAACCAAGTTTTCAGATAGTTCATCCTTATCAGCTTGGGGTCCGAAATGACCTCTCCACCAGGTCCCACAAAAGTTGTGTGAAAATTTAGAACAATGTCAACCAGAAAAATAACGTCCACCACACTGTCCAGCACCAACCAAGCTATGTTGTTCTGCTTCGTTTTGAAGGAAACGTTGTAAGGAACCATAATGGCGGTGTAGAAGGTAAGAATCAAAATCACCCAATCCCAAGTAGTTTTAAAAGCACAATAGTGTAAAATAATGTGTGGTGGCGTCTTTGGTGCTTCTTGCTTATACTGAGGAAGGATATCTGATCCCAGCTGAAGAACCTAAAAGACAGAAAATGAATACAAGTGAAATGGACAATTCTGCACAGTTAGTAATGAATTTGAACTTACTGGCAGTCAAGCCAGAGTTCAGTATCTCTTAAATCTGGCTACAAACTAGAATCATCTGAAGAAGTTTTTTAAGGATTTTATTTATTTATTTTTTAGAGAGGGAAGGGAGGGAGATAGAGAGAGAGAAACATCAATGTGCGGTTGCTGGGGGTCATGGCCTGCAACCCAGGCATGTACCCTGACTGGGAATTGAACCTGTGACACTTTGGTTCACAGCCCGTGCTCAATCCACTGAGCTACGCCAGCCAGTGAAGACATTTTTAAAAACCCATTATACTCATACCTAGACTCCACCCCCAGAACATAATTAAATTAATTTTGTGTGGGTTCTGAAAGAACCCATATTTTCAAAAGTTCTCCAAGTGATTGTAACGTACAGTCTGAGGTAAAACTACTATCTTCTATTTCTTTAAGCATTCAGAACCCTATTCTTCAGACACTAACTTTCATATGCAAAGTGATCCCAAAATGCTACAAGAAGAGAAGAAGGAGGAAGAGAAAGAGGAAGAAGAGAAGGAAAATGGCAACAACAACAGAAAAGTAGGGGGCACATGCTTCAGCTTTGATCTTTCTCATGGACATAGTACCATTTTATCATAGCTCCCTTACTGAGGCTTTTTTTTTTAAATGACCCGGTGAGTAACAACTCTTCACTTTCATTTTTATTGTCATAAGCAATAACTTGGAGGGAGAATGAAATAATGTTTTCTGATGTATTTTTTGTACCAATACAGACATTCTTTCTCTCTAAATATCTGAGAATATTGACTGGTATGGAGTCAGCACCATGGACAGTGGTGTGTTTCTCTCTACCCAGTATCCATATCCAAAGTGGGAGGCTGAAGCCAGTAAGCGAGATGTCACACGGAAAATTAGTAAATTGCCTACACAGAGACCAGGATCTTTGAAACTAGGGATCAGCTCCAAATTTAGAGGTCCCAGTGGAGCTGAGATAAGATTTACATGTCTTGGAAAAAGTAAAGGAGGCTGAAATTGAATATTAAATCCAAATACCCAGGTTGAGCAAATTATATGACTCTGAGAACAATCGGAAAGATGATATCCTTGTACTGACTTGGTGCTTGTTCTGGGTCAGTCTTTGGAGATCTAAGAGCACACACTGACTAAATGTATTGAAATTCCTGTTACTTCTGCATGTTCTCTGAAATCTAGCCTAAGACCTGAAAGAAAGTAGTTTTGTACATGAATAATGTTTGTGAATTGTAGGTGACTGATAAAGAAACTAATAATAATTAAAAAGGCAAGGCCAAAAAGTCATATGAGAAGAAACAGGAGTAAAAGTTCCTCAACAATAAAAGTAAAAATGATGAGATGTCAAAGGAAAAGAAACTTTCCACTTGATGTAGAGGGAAAAAAATGATTATGAGTGATTCCGCTATTAAGGTAGAACATTTTCCTCTTTATGCTCCCTTTCCTCTTGTTCTTGTCCAATTGTGTTAACAAAGAAAAAGAAAGCTCTGAATAGGGTGTAGTTAAGACCCACAAGGAATATTGGCTTTAAAAGTCAGCAATCATAGAAACAAGCTCCTGTACTTTTCTGCTTGATTTATAGAAATAGACAACTCAAGACAGACAAGAAAGTTGCTTCAAAATCCAGTAGTACTTAATAACAAGCATTATTGAAAGAGGAAGTTGTATCTAATTGTCTACTTTAAATCTTGTGCCAACTGCATATCATCTTTTTAAAGTATTGTGATTTATTATTATGTTAATACTTAGTTACATTAATATCTTATTTGGACTTTCAAAAACATATCTGCTCATCAAAGTATTACTCTCTCCCCAAGCTAACAAATCCATTTAGAGCAGAAAGCCATACAAGTTCCTCTGTTAGGTATAGTCCAAGAAAAAGTACAGAATCCTTCAAATTCAGGGAACATAATTCCTGTCTCCAAACCCAATTAATATCTTCAGCTAGTTAACAGTTATGCTGGAGCGCTTCAACTCACCTTTCTCCAGCAGAGCAAACTCATGCATTTAATTTCATTTTTCTCTCAGTTGTCTCATAATATTTTATAAATGCCCACTCATTGCTCAGCATAGCTTTGGAACCTTGATGAGCTTGTTGGCGTCTTTCATATCAGTAAGACAAATGATGAATACAGAAGACACATGAACAACAAGGCTTCGGGCTGCCTCAGAGCCTGTCCTCATTCTTTTTCTCTCTGGTTTCAATACACCATCTCTGGGTAACACCATCTAGTCCTTCGCTTTAACAGCCATATGTGCGAAGATGCCACCAACATTTGCAACTCAAACCCAGATATCCTTCTGGGGCTGGACCCATAAATCTCCACTCCAATTTCCTGTCATGCACTTCAAACTTAATATGTCCAAAACTGCCCTGGCTGGTGTGGTTCAGTGGATTGAGTGTTGGCATGTGAACCAAAGGGTCACTGGTTTGATTTTCAGTCAGGGTCCATGTCTAGATTTCGGGCCAGGTCCCCAGCTGGGGGTGCACAAAAGGTAACCACACATTGATGTTCCTCTCCCACTCCTTCTCCCTGCCTTTCCCTCTCTCTAAAAATAAATAAATTTTTTAAAAATATGTCCAAAACTGAACTCATTACCATTGCCTCCAAACCTTCTCTTCCTCCCCTTATATTTGCCATTTTATTAACCAATGGCCCATACTATCTACCTAGTTGTCCACACCAAAAACACAGAGTTGTCCTTGACTCACCTCCTTATTTCACATTCAATTCTAATCTATCAATAAACATGTCAACTCTGATCTTACTGGGTCTGCAATCTGCCTGCCCACTTCTACTTCTGGTTCCCTTGATTAAAGTCATGCTCATCCTAGCTGAATACTTACTAGAAACTCTTAACTGACTTCCCTATCTACCTATTTAACACAGAGCCACTAGGTCAAGGAGGGGTTATTAACTATTTTTGTGCCATGAATCCCTTTTCATAATCTGGTAAAATCTAGGAACCTCTTCTTAGAATAAAGTTTTTAAATCAGTACAATAAAAACATGGGATTACAAAGGAAACCATTGGAACTAATATCCTTTTAAGAGGTTTTTCTGAAGCACAAATGTGATCATGTCACTTCCCTGGCTCATGGGACTCCAACCACCAATGCTTCACTATACACCACTTTAACTTTTCCTTTCCCACCTGACTTCACCCACAGTGAAGTAATATCCAAAGTCATCATGCTATCTCATTTCTCAGCCTTTGCATATGCTGGCCTCCCTGGTATAAATAACCTTCCTTACCTGCCTTTTATATTTTTCCCTCAAGATTCACTCAGCCCAGGTATCATCTCATGCAGGTAGCCCTGCCCACAAGTCTGGGTAAATGCTCCTGCATGTGCTCCCACTGCACCCTGTCATAATATTTATCACATTCAATTATTAGATTCCTTGGCTAGATTTTTAGCTCCTTGGTGATAGAGCCCATTGTTTGTTTCATATCTACTTCCTTTGCAGAGTATCAAGTACAGAGCAAGCCCTCAACATGTGTGTGCCACATACATAAATGGATGAATGCATGAACTCCCACCTTATTTGCTCAAAGGACTCCTCACACCCTACAGACATCACCTGGGATGTCATGAACTATCTTCCAATTTCAAAAGCAGGAGGGAATAAAAAGAAGTATCTGAAATTTCTATAAATCTACAAGGGAAAAGTAAATTATCATTTAAGTATTTGTAAAATGATAGCCAAAAATATCCATATTGAATCATTGAGGGGGGGGCATGTACCACCACCACCACCACCACCATGGAAAGCAAAGTTAGCCTCACACTTACTTCAGCTAATCTTGAATGTTTGTGGACCACCTCTGTTTTATTCATTGGTGTGAGCTGCTGCAAAACACTTCGGCTATTTGTCAAAGCCCGTGTCAATCGGGCAAATTTTGTCCAACCTTAAAAATAAGAAAAGAAAGTCTCAGTTTTTCACACATAATCAACATTCTTGATAATAATTCAAATGATCTCAGAAATAGCATAACATCCAGGACTAAGGACAAATATCAAAAGTATTTTACTTCTATATAGATATCATATATATCAAGTGTGGCTATAAAGAAACAAGCAATTTTTATGTGTGACCTTTGGGCTTTGCGCATATCTATTATATAATCCAAGTAGCCAAAGTGGCTAGCTGTCCAAAAAATGCTGTGTTCCCCTTGCACCATATAGGATTGGTTTTGCCTTTTGAGTAAAAGTGATAAGGATGTCTTCAGATTATGCTAACTGTATGTTAGCAAAACATATATTAAAACATTTCCTTGTGATCACTTTTCTTTCTTAAATCAACTGAATACTATAATTGCATTGAGTATTTTTAGAAACTTCCAAGTCAATCTAATACTTACTGAAGTTTCATATTTCTAAAACAGGTGATGTTGCACCCCTTAGTACATTTGAGTATTAGATTAAAAGACAACTCTATTTTCTTTTTCTAATATATTTTATTGATTATGCTATTACAGTTGTCCCACTTCCCCCCTTTTATTACCCTCTGCCATGCACACCCCCTCCCACCCTCATTCCCCCCCCTTAATTCATGTCCATGAGTCATACATATAAGTCCTTTGGCTTCTACATTTCCTATACTATTCTTAACCTCTCCCTGTCTATTTCCTACCTACCATTTATGCTACTTATTCTCCATAACTTTCCCCCCTCTCCCCCTCCCACTGCACTGCTGATAACCCTCCATGTGATCTCCATTTCTGTGATTCTGTTCTGCTTCTAGTTGTTTGCTTAGTTCATTGTTGTTTTTGTTTTTGTTTTAGGTTTGGTTTTAATAACTGTGAGTTTGTGGTCATTTTACTGTTCATATTTTTTATCTTCTTTTTCTTAAATAAGTCCCCTTAACACGTCGTATAATAATGGCTTGGTGATGATGAACTCCTTTAACTTGACCTTATCTGGGAAGCACTTTATCTGCCCTTCCATTCTAAATGAAAGCTTTGCTGGATAGAGTAATCTTGGAGGTAGGTCCTTGCCTTTCATGACTTCGAATACTTCTTTCCAGTCCCTTCTTGCCTCCAAGGTCTCTTTTGAGAAATCAACTGACAGTCTTATGGGCACCCCTTTGTAGGTAACTGTCTCCTTTTCTCTTGCTGCTTTTAAGATTCTCTCCTTGTCTTTCATCTTGGCTAATGTACTTATGAGGTGCCTTGGTGTGTTCCTCATTGGATCCAACCTGTTTGGGATTTTCTGAGCTTCCTGGACTTCCTGAAAGTCTATTTCTTTTGCAGCTTGGAGAAGTTTGCCTTCCTTATGTTTTCAAATAAGTTTTCCATTTCTTGTTCCTCTTCTCCTTCTGGCACTGTTATGATTTGGATATAGGAACATTTAAAGATGTCCTGGAGGTTCTGAGGCATCTCCTCATTTTTTTTAATTCTTGTTTCTTCATTCTGTTCTGGTTGAATGTTTGTTTCTTCCTTCTGGTCCAAACTACTGATGTGAATCCCAGTTTCCTTTCCATCACTCTTGGTTCCTTGTACATTTTCCTTTATTTCACTTAGCATAGCTTTCATTTTTTCCTCTAATCTGTGACCATATTCAACCAATTCTCTGAACATCCTGATTACTAGTGTTTTGAACTGTGCACCTGATAGGTTGCCTATCTCTTCATTGCTTAGTTGTATTTTTTCTGGAGCTTTGATCTTTCATTGGGGCCATTTTTTTTGTCTTGGCACACCTGTTACATAGGAAGGGGAAGAGCCTTAGGTGTTCACCAGGGTGGGACAACCCACGTCACAGCATTTTGATGCTGTATGTGGGGGAAGGGTCCAAGAGGAAGCAATGCCACTTGCTCTGCTCTCTTGCCAGTTTTCAGTCACTTCTCCCGCTACCCACAATCAAATTGGGCCCTTCTGGTGCTGATTCCTGGGTGGGTGGGTTTTGTGTACTTTCTAGGACCCTGTGGGTCTCCCCAATGAACTCTCCTGTGAGGCTGGTCATTTCTCCCACTGCTGCCTCAAGCCCCACAGGTGTTTTCAATCAGAGGTTTGAGGCTCCTGTGCTGGAGCCCTGGGTTGCATAGTCTGTCTCGCTCCCCAGTTGTTCCTCCCAGTTTATCTGCACACAAATGTGGGACTGTGTGGTTCACAATCCACCGCTGCCTCGCTTGGTCCTCCAGCCACCACCTTTCCCACCCCAGGCCTCCAGCCTCTGCCTTGCTGGGAGTCCTCTTTGCCCAGTTGCTGGTCTCTGTCCCTCCTACCAGTCTGGATGAATGTTTCTTCTTTAACTCCTTAGTTGTCAGACTTCCATAGAGTTTGATTTTCTGGCAGATCTTGTCTTTTGTTTTTAAATTTGCTGTTGTCCTTCTTTTGGTTGTGCAAGGAAGCACAGTGTGTCTACCTATGCCTCCATCTTGGCCAGAAGTAACAGACAACTCTATAATAAGGTTCATCCAGAAAACATTTTGAAAAAATATAAGAATATATTAAAGGAATAAGTTCAATGACACATGGAAGAATACAAATCATTAAATGACATATGTTCTCCCATTTCCTAGGTTCAGGGCTTCCTTAGAATCCTCAGTCCTAAACAGTCAGCATTTTTCTCAAGAGCACTATGCCAGCCCCCATCCTCACTTTCAGCAGATTACCTCATTGAATAAGTTACTGAAGAAACAAAAGCCATAAGAAACACAATAACCTTCACATTCCTTTATGTCCCCTCCACCTCTACACCTAGCCACATGGCACTGATTCTTGTCTGCACCTTCATCGTATCAGAGAATTAGGTGGACATGTAAGTGGTTTCTAGACTTTTCACTATCACTGACAATGCCACAGTGAATTTCCTTAGGCCTATCTCTCTGTGCTCTTGAAAGCATCTAGAACCACCTACGTTATTAAATTAGTTCATTTGATCTGCCACCAACTCTCACTGTACAAACTTTGAAAAAGTTGAGCAACCACGCTGTCTAGGTCAGAGGAAAAAAACACATCAGCAGTTTTGACTTCCCCAGTGATACACTTACTGAGCTCACCTTTACAAAGACCTATCTGTGTGACTGATTATTCAGCACACTTTGCTGATGTTACTTAGATGTGATCGATATGGGGTAATGTGAACAGACAGATGAATACGAAGAGCCTAATACTTGCTCTGTAGGTTGTTCGTGATATTATGAGAATATCTGTTCTCCTAAAAGCTCAGGATGCCAACCCCTTCTTAATAAAACATTAGTTTAGCTCTATTGCGTTGCAATTAACCTCTTTGTCATGGACTGCTTAATCTTAAAAATAAAAGGAAGTCACAGAGGCAGTTAAATCAATCTACTAGACTGCAATACAAGATTCTAATCCATAAGAAAAAAAGCTTATATAAACAATTATACTCTTGGCCAAAGACACTACATGGTATAATTACTCATATTTCATCTGTTGTTTCTTCTAAAGCAAATCATTGACTTCCCACAAGACGAAGTTGCTATTTTTGCTGATATTTTTATCCTACAGAATTTTTTTGTCTCAATTATTGGCACAAAGATGCCATAACTATGTGGCACAGGATATTTCACACTGTAAGTGTTTTGGCAGTTTCACAATCTGTTTGAAAATACTACAAAGTATAAATGGGTAGAGATTTGGGTCATCTCTTTTAGAACACATATGGCTAATCAACAGAATGGATTTCTTGGCTGTAATTTTTGTACTATTATAAATGATGTTTCAGGTACCATTGACTGATTATCTGAGCAACACTTTCAAGACCTCAACACCAGGAACAAAAGATAAAAACACTTTGCTCCCTTGCATTATTACCAACAAATTATGTTGGTATGAAACAGTACAATTCTGTCAGAACCAGAGTATTCTCAACTTGTGCTTTATTGTTTTATCTATTTTTTAAGTGAAAAAGGAGAACAGGGGGAAATGGAGAAAACCATTAAGGTGGAAAAATTGTAGGAAAAATGGAGAACACCTTGAAATCCAAACAGTAAGTTTCCACGGAAAAGGATGAGGCAAGCAGTGCAATAGAAATAACATGGGATTGGGAATCAGTCCGACTCTGCATGGCAGGGCCTTCAACAGTAAAATGGGGATAATAACAGTAATTTCCAGAATTACAGAAATGAACAATAAAGACCATAAAGTTCCTGACACATGGTTAACTACTTCAAAACTGGTTTCCTTCCCCTCCAATGGTTTTTGCTAACATCCATCACAGTGTAAATCAAAGGTATTGTTGATATCATTCAGTTTCATTCATTTTAAAGACAAAAACCTATCTAGGATAAAGTTTAAGTGGTCATAAAATTTGTTTTAAGGAAGAACGCACTCAAATTAGTTGACTACTGTTACTTTATAGTTACTATCCCAGGTATCATTTTTGAAATAAAATTCAGAACTAGCCAGTTTACTCAAGTCTTTCAATCATATGTCTGAGCTTCTTGGTAAAAATACCAGCAGACGTAGGAGACTGACATCAATTCTAACCAATTTGGCAAATCCTCAAAGGACCTGGGCTTTTGCTCCCATCACTGGCCCCTTTTCACATTAAGAAGGTAAAATGTCCTTGCTCTAGGATTAAAAGTTACATTCTGGCTTGCCAGTGTATGGATTCACTTGACAGTTCTGCATTCCAAAACACAATTTCCTATATTCTAGGCAAAACTTTAATTTCCTAAATATTTTTTCAACCTTTTGCAAACACCCTCAACCTACTCTCTTGCAAACATACTCAACTCCCTGATCTTTATGATCCTTCTCCCTGATCCTCTAGCTCCCTGAATCTTTTCATCTTACTCACCTGACCAAATTCCAACTATGGTTAAATCCAACTCTTCACCTACTTCTACATTTTTACATCTTTGACTAAACATGGGTGGAGTAAAACATACAATCATGCTCACAGATATCAGTAAAGCTCATGTCCACTGGCCTCCAGTAGACCTTAGTGCTGCTTAACAAACCCGATGGATTTCCCTTGTCCACTCTCTTCTTCACACCCAGAGATTACCATTCACACCTACACCTCTCTTCTCACACCTTCAACACTTCCTCACCTCCTTCCCCATCTTTACTCTCAGCTGATAATCATGTTTCCTATATTACTGAGAAAATACAAATTATCAGAAGAAAATTTTCACTTTGTACAGATTTGTTTATTGGTCCCCTCATTAAGATGTGAAGAAAATAACTCTATTGTCAGAACCTAGAACAGTGCCTGCTTCCTACTGTGTGCTTGACTTGTACTTTTGGTTTAAAAAATGGATAAAATAGATAAACAAGGAGATTAAAATATTCCTAGAAGAGTCTTAAAAAGCTCATGTTAAGTAACTCTGGTTAAGCAACCCAACACTAAGTGAAAAGTAAATCTTGTCTTCAACTTCAATTTTCTAGCCACAACCCATTTTAATATTATGGTCTTATCACAAAATCTCATCTGCTATTTCCTAAAAGCTCCATGGTCCCCTTTACTCAACTTAAAAGGTTAAAAGATACATTTTTTTGGCCTAGGTTTCAAAATATGCTTTCGTATACTGATAGCTTTATAGCAATGGTAAGATGATTACTTAATGGCATAAATATTTTATCTCTACTGAATTCTCCATATTAAATTTATAGCTCACATGAATAATAGAAAGTAGCTCATATACACCATTCATAGTTACTTTGCGCAATACTTTCTTCAGTAATCTGTTGTATATTTGAAAGGTATGGGGGAGTCTCAAAATAAAAGTCTATTCAAGATAAACCTTTCCGCTACAAAAACTGGAAAGAGATAGTTTAATTCTTTCCACAATAGGGTCTGATTTCCTATAGATTCTAATTTACACGTCTACCAAACACATAGTTCAAAATCAAGTGGTCTGAGTTGCCTGGAATGTATTCAAATGTATTTTTTGTAAGAATGGATTATGCATTTATGAGACTGTGCCTGGCAAAGAACTCTGTAATTCTGATGTGCAGAGATGGAAGTGAAGGCAGAAAAATGGAGAGGCATTAATTTGAAAAATAAAGGTCAGCCCTTAACATTAACATCCTTTCTGCAACATCATTGTAAAATGCTGCCAACTTTCACTTTCCATAAATAGGCTATAAAGCTACTGACACCACCATTAATGTTCAGCAGATCAAAACTGTGAAAAAGCACTGTACTCATTTTGGCCAACATTAGCTGTGCCATGATATCACTTAGTGTAAATTAGAGAGAACAACAGATATCATCAGCTGTTAGCTATAGGTTTTTCAAAGATGTTCCTTATCAAGTTGATGAAGTTACTCTCCATTCCTACTTTACTAAAAGTTTTATCATGAACAGTGTTTGGTTTTGTCAAATGCTTTTTTCTATGCAACCTGATATGATCTATTATGTTTATTATTTAGCCTGTTGATACAGTGAATTACAATGATTGATTTTTAAATGTTGAACCAGCTTTGTATATGTGGAGTAAATCCTACTTGGTCATCATATGTAATTCTTTTAATACATTGTTGGATTGCATTTTGTTGAGGATTTTTGCATCTCATGAGAAATACTGGTATGTAATTTTCCTTTCTTGGACTATATTTTTCTGCATTTGGTATGAAGGTAGTACTGGCCTCACTGAATGAGAAGAGCTCTCTCTACTTATATTTTCTGGAAGAAACTATGAATTTGATGATGCAAACATATGTACCTGGTGTTTTCTTGTTTTGGAAGTTTATTAATCATTAATACAATTTATTCAATAGCTATAAGACAATTCAGCTTATTTCCCCTAGTGTGCATTCTGGTAGCTTGTGTCTTCAAGAAACTGGCTCATTTTAACTAAGTTACCAATTCAGTGGATGTTCAGAGTTGTTCAAAGTATTTCTTTATGACAATTTCACACCCATGGGTGTGTTGTAATGGCCCTTCTTTAATTTCTGATACTGGTGATTTGTATCTTCTCCATTTTTCTTAGTTAGCCTGGCTAGAGGTTTGTTAACTTTAATAATCTCTTTAAAGAATCAGCTTTGGGTCGTAATGATTTTCTCTAATTTTTTGTTTGTTTGTTTGTTTTCTATCTCATTGATTTCTGCTCTAATTTTATTTATTGTCTTCAGCTTGCTTTGGCTCAAATTGCCCTTCTGTGGCTTACTTTTGTAAGGTGGAAGGTTAGGTTATCAATTTTATATCTTTCTTCTTTTCTAATATATACATTTAATGCTACATACACATTTCTCTCTAAGAATTGCTTTTGGTGCATCCCACATACTTGATAAGTTGTATTTTTATTTTCATTTACTTCAAAACATTTTTCTAATTTCCCTTAAGGTTTCTTCTTTGACTCATGAGATATTTAGAAATGTATTCATTTCCAAACATTTGGGGATTTCCTAGCTACCTTTCTGTTACTGATTTCTAGTTTAATTCCATTGTTGTCTAAGAACATACTTGGTAAGATCTGTATTCTTTTAAGTTTGTCAAGGTGTGTTTTATGGCCAGAACATGATCTACCTAGTGAATGTTCCATTTAAGCCTAAGAAGAAAATGTATTCTGCTATTGGATGAATCACTTTGGATTTTTAAAGAAACAAATAAGCATTAATTAGAAGACTATTACATTAGAAACTATTATATTAAAAATAGTATTTAAATTTATCCTAAACTTCCTAGACACTGTGTGTATGAGTAAAGGCAGAGAAATAAATAGGACAGGTCTAAAAGTGAATCCTTTTATTCCTTCTTCCAGGAGCTGACTAAATACACACATTTTCAGAAACATTCACAAGTGAACTGATCTATGTCATGGTTTCAGTGGTTTGCACACCATAAAATTTTCCCTGCAATTTGATGCTAATAGGAAACTAAGCAGGTAGGTAATATATATTTAATTTCATCTGCAGAAAATAAGTATAATGCAATTTTTCTATAATTATAATTATAGTTGGAAAGATTAAAGCTTTTATGGCAATTTCTTAAAAACAGGTAAGAGAAGACAATGTTTGCCAAATGCAAAAAGGAAGAGATTTAATTTTTAGTCCCCTAAGAGATTGTTAAAAACAATATTTCATAGAAACTTCTAAGGATATTTGAAATTCTTCATTCATATGACACCAATTTATAATTTAAACATAATGAAGAGAATAAAATGAGAGCAAAGGAGAGTAAAAGCACATGCCACTGATTACTATATCCTATAGAAACCTCTCTGAGTATTATAGTCAATAAGACTCCAATTAGAATGTTTTCACCTTCCAGACAATCTCTTGATGACAAAATTGTTTTTTTTACATAATCTAGCAACATCTACTCAGGAGAATCTACAACAATCAAGTGAATAAAAGGTGAAGAGTAACCTGAAAAAGTCAACTAACTAAACTTGAATCAATTTAACAATCAACTAATCAACTGTGTCCCAACAAGACTTCACCAAGCCATGCAGCAAGGTATATTTTTGGTTTCTAAAACTCACCATGTTAGAAGTTGTTGAAATTCCCATTTCATTGATGCTAAATAAATAATGTTCTATGAAATCTCTTCCTTATGTCTTTTCCCAATTCCTCTTATTATAGTTTAAGTAACTATCATTTTAACTTTTTATTTCATTCAAAAAATATAATGGAATAAAACTGATTTGGACAAAGACCAGTATGAATGTAAAGCAAAATAAGGGTCACATAGTACAATTTTGTTTTCAAGTTTAACCAATGGATGTTATTAAAATAATAATAATATATTTAAATGACAGCCTAATTCTTTTTTTTTATTAATCATTGTTCATATACAGTTTTCTCCTTTTTACTCCCAATCCAGTTCCCCCTCCCACCCACCCCACTTCCCTCCCATTACCACCCTCCCCTTAGTCTATGACCATGTGTCCTTTAAGTTTGTTCCTGTGAACCCTTCCCACTGTCCCCCTTAAATTCCATCTTCTCTCCTCCGGTCACCATCAGCCTGTCCTCTATTTCAGTGTCTTTGGTTACATTTTGCTTGTTTCTTTGTTTTGTTATTTAGGTTCCTGTTAAAGGTGAGATCATATGGTATTTGTCTTTCACTGCCTGGCTTGTTTCGCTTAGCATAATGTTTTCCAGCTCCATCCACGCTGTTGCATAGGGTAGGAGCTCCTTCTTTCTTTCTGCTGCATAGAATTCCATCGTGTAAATGTACCATAGTTTTTGGATCCATTCATTTACTGATGGGCATCTAGGTTGCTTCCAGCATCTAGCTATTGTAAATTGTGCTGCTATGAACATTGGGATGCATAGGTTCTTTTGAATTGGTGTTTTAGTATTCTTAGGATAGAGTCCCAGTAGTGGAATTGCAGGGTCAAAAGGCAGATCCATTTTTAGTTTTCTGAGGAAGTTCCATATTGCTTTCCATAGTGGTTGTACCAGTCTGCAGTCCCACCAACAGTGCACTAGGGTCCCCTTTTCTCCACAACCTCTCCAACACTTGTTGTTTGTTGCTTTGTTTACAGCCTAATTCTTAAGTGAAGTAATGCCTTTGAAAATTACCTTTTGTTGAATCATCCTCTATTGGCTGTTTGAACAATGTGATATCCTTGAAAGTGCACAGGAACAAGACCACCTTTTCATGTTCATTTCTTATTGGTGCAATTTGCATATAAAACCAAACAGGGGTTCCTGGAAGAGAAAGAAAGGACAATAGAGTGTGACAAAGCCGCAACAATGGCTTGGTCTGCTGCCTTCTCTCTTCCTCCAGCTGCCAACTACTATGCCAGGAACTAACAACAAAACAATAGTATTTTCATTGCTAAAAAGAATCCAAATATTTTTAATTTTGTATGAACTACCAGTTGCTCAATAAATAATAAGCATATTTTTCAACCCAAAATAGCAAAATTTGAAAGTAAAGCACAACACAGGAGCACAAAGGAACACCAGCATCACCTTTAGGCCTGGCTCCCTGCTCGACAGCTGCTCTCCACAACTTCCTTTTGAATGCCTCACCAAGTATGACCACTCCTACGGGCTTCTCCTTGTCACCTTGAGACGTGTTTCCAAACTGACTTCAAGCATAATACCTGATGCTGTGGTGGGTATTCCTCTGGGAGGAACATGTGAAATGCTCAGGCAGACCTATAAGATAGCTCTACGGTTTTGACTGAACCCCACCAGAGACACTTGAAGCCCTATGTACACAAGCTCTACCTGAGGCCTTTAAAACAATGTTAAAGAAAAAAAATGCTCCCAGCCCTTAAGAATCTCAAGTGTCTTTATGAGCCACTACCTCCTACGTCCCTCCTCAAGGCAGGAGGCTGAACTCTGTCACCAGTTTCCTCAAACAAATGGCTCCTGCAGACTCCAGAGGACAGTTTCAAAGCATTGCAGGCTTCGGTTCTGAACAAATCAGGAACTGGCACTATGTCAAATAAGTAATTGAAGGCAAGAGACATGCCTTCAAAGGAGCAATTATCCATTAAGTGATAAAACACTGAAGGAATATGCCATCAGAAACAAAAAGACATATTTTTCATGTTCACTCTAAGCCATAGTGCAGTAAAGCCTCTCCAAATATTCTACCTTCAAGACATAAAGACCTTTGCCAGGTTTGGGGTTTGAGGAGTGAACTGTATGGCTAAAAATAGTCTCCAGGTGAGACTTGATAGCCTGTTAGTGGCTACCAATGAAAACCCAATAAGAAGCACCTCCATACCTGTGTCCAAAAAACGTCATGTAATAATGTCACCACAAAAGGGAATTTGTCATTTAGACAAGATGAGGTGACTTAACTACTGGGTTCAAGAACTCAGAGAATTAAAGAGAGAAGATTTCTTTGGAAATACTCAGTTTTTTGTTTGTTTGTTTTTTCTTTTTTAAGATTTTATTTATTTTTAGAGAGAGGGGAAGGGAGACAGAAAGGAAGAGAAACATCAATGTGTGAGAAAAATATCAATTGGTTGTCCCTTGCATGCCCCCAACCAGGGACCTGGCCTGCAACCAAGGCATGTGCCTTGACCTGGAATCGAACCGGTAACCTTCTGGTTTGTGGGAAGATGCCCAACCCACTGAGTCACACCAGTCAGGGCAAGCTTTGACAACCAGGTTCTGTGGCATTTGCAATGCCAGGAGTCCTACAGAAGGATATGGTCCTTTCCAAAATCATTACAGGATGACACAGAGACCTCAGAAACAATTATACAATCCATCTTCTAGAGAGGTTTTTTCTTTGTTTTCTGCTTCTTGTTTTATACAGTGTGTCCAGGAACTATGAGTGATGTGCACAGTTTCACAAATCACCAGACCCAGAGGCCAGAGATACATGGCCTATGGTTGTTACATCACAGTGAGTTTGAGGCCACAGCATCAAAACAGAGGGAAAAGGGCATGAAACATAAGTAGTTTTCCAAGATCTGTTAGAAATCTGAGCAGAGATAATTTCGCAGCTCATATCTTTCTATGAAAACAGCAACATTTCAAATTGTGACATACAGTCAGGACTGTTTTTCTAAATTGCTTTTAGATATCATGGTGGACTTTTATCAGGTTCAACTACAGGGCCATACTTCCCCAAGTAGTCTAAGTACTTACAGACCGGTTGGTCAAAAACCATATTCTGAATTTGGGCTTCAGGGGGATGAGATATCTGGGAGGGTTAAGCAGAAAGGTTTGTCACTGATGGAAATTCAAGGCAGCACCCTGGCATTATCTGGAGTGGGCCCGTTACCACAGTTCTGCCCTTTGTATAGACACAAAGAGCCATTTTCAATCATCATCTCAGAGCCGCTGTTTCTTTGCCAGTAGCAGAAACAGCCCCCTGCTAATCAGAGCAATAGGTCTGAAGAATAGAGGTTGCAAACTGAAATGTCAGGCGTGACACATGTTAAATAGGATACCTCAATCTCCCCACTTGCAAAACGGTGTTTAACTTAATTACTTAATGAAAGTATTGGGAGGAGGTGACATTCAGGCATTTCCAAAACAGTTTTCTACAGACATGCGAATTTTTCTATTAACATTTTACAAAGTCAAAAGAATACACTCTTTTCAGCTGGTGTTGAAAAGCCTTCAGCTAACTATTTACAAGATTTTTTAAAGCTGTTTTTAAGTATAGTGGAACTCCATTATAATACATGGGTAATATTTTTCCTTCATATTAAAGGAAAAAAACTCAATGCAGATAACACAGAGAAAGGAGAGAGGAGTTTTAATCTTTGGTACTGTGGGCTCTATCTTTTCCTACCTCTAAGCCGACACCTACGTATATAGTACTTATCTGAAAAGAATCAGACAGGCCTCTACAAAGGTCAGATAATTATTTCAAGCCATTAAATAAAGCAGACAATCTAAACCAGCTCAAAAGGAGACTTCTGAGGAGATGTAAGATTCAAGTTCTTGCTAACATGACTTAAAGGACATAAGCAAACAGAATTTCCACCGAGGTATTTTTGAGAAACTCTGAAACTATGAACTGGTTTTTATGCTTCAAAATCAAGCAAAGGTTTATTTATTCTGCTTAAAGGTCAGAGTGATATGGCCTTAGTAATATGGAGTGTTCTTAAATTATTTGCTAAACTTGAGACATATATCTAAGTCATGTAAGAGATAACAGTAGTATATGAAAACAGAGGGAGATTTTGGCATAAAATCTACTATTTTGGCATAAGAATCTATTATCTTACTATGAGTTTGGACCTGGTAAAAGAATAAGCAGAAAACACATACAGCCTGACTTTTCTCTTGTAGAGGATGAAGCTGATCATTCAAAATGGATTGTTTTCTAGGTCACAAGCCAACAGACATTTGGGTTTGGCTTCAGAGAGAAATACCTCTCAGCCTTGATTCTATTAATAAAATGAAAGAGGAGATGTTAAGACATTCCTTAGGTAAAACCACTAAAGGCTAGTGTTCCCATTGCCAAGTGCACTACTATGAAGCAATAACCATGGTTGTCATTATCCCTGTGATGGGCTATTAATTTAAAAAAGACAAACTTAAGTTCAATTTCAAATATTCCAATGAGAACAAATGTGTCAGGTAAATAGAAAGAATAATTTATGCTGCACAAGATCCAATAGGCACTCATTGAACATGGAACACGTACCTCTGTTGAAGTTAGAGTGTGTCCCAAACTGCATCAATTTCCACTAAAGATCATAATTGGCTTTGCTATCATATGTCAATAACACTAAATAAATTGATCCAGCTTAGGAAGTAACTGTTCATTTTTTAAAAACTCAAAGAATGTATAGTCTGCTACTTTGGGGTGAAATGGTATATTTGCACAATGCAATACTACTCAGCCATAAAAAAGAAGAAAATTTTACATTTGGCAAAGCATGGATGGACCTGGAGAACATTATGCTAAGTGAAATAAGCCAGTCAGAGAAAGACAAGTACCATATGATTTCATTCATATGTGGAATCTAATGAACAAACTGAACTAACAAACAAAACATAGACAGACTCATAGCAGGCTAAGAGCTCTCGGGGATAAGGGGTGGAGGGATAGAGCAAAAAAGGAAAAGGACTCATGGACATTGACAACAGTGTTGGGCTTGTGGTGAGGGGTGGGGGGAGGCAGGGTAGTGGGTGGAGGTGCAAAAGGAAACGGGTGATAAATGGTAATGGGAACAAACACAGCAAAAAATAAAGTCTTTTTTAAAACTTTAAAAGAAAAGTCAATTTGCAAAAGCAGCAAAAAGAAATAAGAGTAAATATTCAAAGAAAATGAATTAGAAAGAAGTCTTGGCTGATGAGTGTGCTAGCTGGTTTTTTGTTTGGTCAGGTTCTTCCGTCACACTCTGGTGGAGAATCCATACCATGAGATCTTAGGTTATTACACAATGGATAATTGACTACTCCCAAATCTCGCCCACAGGACAGCTCATAACAATCAATATAGGTTTACCAGATATGAATGGCCTCTTCTAAAAGTAATGACTACTTCCCCTAATTACACACAAAATAGCCTGAGTCCAGCAAAAGGCTGTATTAGTAAAGATTCACCTCAAGTTGATACCCTATGTTCACATGTTATCAATGTATGATGTATAGGTAGGTAGTCACATTTATCCATGATACTAACTGCCTTTTTCTTTAACTCTAAGAAGAAATGAATAAATTTCTCTCCTTTTTAGTTGCTGTCATATAACTATAGAATTGTTACCATGAATATTATTTGTCACCTGAAACAAGCACACATGCACACACAAAAAATCACATCTAAAATGCACCATGCTTTTCTTCCATTCCAGGCTGCTTTTCATAGCCAGAATCATTGATCAATTTTGCTATCTAATTTTACTTGCATCCCCTGTCCCTGCCAGGAGAAGGAACAGAGTTTTATAATTCTCTGTACTACAGCTCAACTACCACTTACCAAAATATAGCATTAATAAAGACTTGGCACATCTTATTGATAATTTAGATACATTTAGATACCTACTGTTTTTCTTGTACAGAAGAACTTCAAAGCAGTTTGACTCGTAGTTGTCAAAAGTCTGCCTGACTTTCTCAATGGTCTTCTTGTCAGTCAATTCCCCATACATAAAACTGGGGAAAAAAACAATCCATTTCAGGTTTGTGTTGCTTTTCAAATGCTACATAAAATCATATAGTTGTCTTTGTTGCTTAAATAATCAAATTTAGTAACAAAATATAATCTTGCTCCCACAAAATGAACTGAAATGTTTAAACCATATTTTGATCATGATTGTTAAACTTCTTGTTGACAGCTAACTTTAGAAGTTATTTCAAACTTACAGAAAAAGAGAAAGCAAGATGGACTCCTCACTTTACACAGTTCATATATGCACCAATTTCAATTACTATGGTATAATTAAATAACACCAGCTTCCCAACAGCACCATGCAAATTTCAGTTACCATAGACTAAGAACTGTGAAATAATGGCATAAAGTTCAAACTTTGCTGGTAGCTCTTCAGTCTACACAGCGCTGGTAAACAACACATAACACATCGTGATCAGAAGCCAATCATCTCACATCTTCAAAGCCTGTCAGTACTGGACACTGTGCATCCATTACTCAATTTACACACAGAGGCAAAGCATGTAGCTATGTTACCTCCTTGTTTCCCAGTGATAAATCCACTTGACGTTTTACAAACATGGAAATCGAAAGCAGGAAGTAGCCATCAAAGATGTAAGTCCATCAAAAACAAATGAAGATGCCGAAAGCAGATTTCATTTGAACAGAAATGAAATAATAGAAGAAATAGATGAACGTGAGAGCACTGACATGACTGCCATTGAGAGACTCGATGTCTGCAGCCAGAGGGACTTAGGGAAGGTGAACCTACCAATATCCACCAAGGAAGTCATTGGCACAGAAGGATCAAGTTTTCCCAGACAAAGTGACACAAATTAAAACAAAAAACTTCACATTAAGGGAGCCCTAGGAGATAGTTCACAATAGTAGTGACCATGGAAGAATAAAAGAGTTCAAGTTGATTTAGACCTCGAAAGGAGTATGACCATTTGCAAAGAGATGGGGAAAGATATCGGAATGTCCTGTCATATTACAAGAAAGCAAGAAACGTTCAAATGCCTTGTGATAGTCTATGCAAAGAAATGAGACACTTTAGTTCTCAGTGTTTCTAATGTCTAAACTATAGTATAGCTAAGTATTAGTTTTACAAATATTTTTATTTCCATATATTTATAACCAACAGTAAGAGGGTTTTCAATGCTTTGACATTGTAAAGGTCACAGAACAACCCATTTTTCCAAATGTTTGTAGTCCTAAGGAAAAAAAAAGAAAAACCAATTTACTTCTATTACCAAATGTCAGGGTTCTATAGTTCAATAACCTAAAACACAATATTCACAACTAGTTGACAGAAAAAAAGTTCAAAAAAATCTATAATATAACAAACAACAAGGATAATAATTGTGAAAAAATAAACTCTAATAGGATTGAAAATTAAGTTACAACTTAAAAAAAGAGACTGTTTTGAAAATTAATGTAATAATACTAGTTAAAGGGAAATATAGCACAAGTTTGATTCAATTAAAATTCTGGAGAGAAGACGAAAACCTGCAATTTATCAAATAAACTATGAAAATTCTATAATATATTCTTCATTATTTTAGCAATCCCAATGCTAAAAGCTCCTTTGCTGAGAATATAAAGGCATTTTAAGAAAAACGTCCCAGACTAATACAGTCCAAATACTTTTTTCCAAATAGTCTCTTATTTCTTACATTACTTCACCAGTATTATAAATGACTTCAACTGCGCTGTTTCTTTTACTGGAAAGACAAATCCGCTGTACCAAAGCAATCTATCTCTGCTATAACACTGAGCAGTCCCAACGTAGCAGCATCACTGCACTTGGAGGATTGCACTTCACAGGCAAGTGCTGTAGCCTCATCAGCAAACAAATTAGCATGTGTGGTACAATGGCTGAGTGATTACTGGAACGCGTCTTAGGGGTGGGGTTAGAAGAAGGCCCATTCAGCCCAATCCCACTTCCTTACTTCGCTACAATTCTAGGACAGGGATTGGGCCACACTTGTTAATGGGCAGGGCCACCAGGTCACTGAGTTTTTATGGGCAATGCACATTCTTTTGTACATCTTTCTTTGCTAAACACTGAGGTTTAAGCATAAACTCACTCCGGGTCCCCTCCTGGATAATCTGGCCACTTTCCTCGCCACAGAACTAAGTGATGGTAAGATCTGATCCTAAGAGTAAGGGAAAAATTTTCCTGGGGCCTGGCCTAAGCTGCATCCAGCTTGCTGAACAGTTGGCAGTACATCTTTCGAGCAAAGTCTGTCCTAGGAAACTTCTGGGGACTGGTGACTTTGGTTTATAGCAGAATTTGCTACTTATTTTTGGATCCCTTGTTCTGCCATCAATATCTCACAAACAAGACTCATTATGATACCTCACACTAAGGATGGCTATAATGTTGAGACTTTCAAAGGACACAGGAGTCTTACAAACTAAAAAAAAAAAAAAAAAAAGGTGTAACCTAATCATGAGTTCCTCTAGCTACCTCAATCTGCTAATGGTCAAACAATGTTCCTGAACTAAAACATCACGCTCAGTCACCACTAGAAAAGAACAATATTATCTTGAGACTGTAGTTCACAGACTAGCAAATGCTTCATCATGGAAACTGTACAGATGGACTTAATGCAATTAGTTGGTAAATGTGGTCCTCAGCTTGGAACCAGCCACCACAGTAAAGTTAATATTGCAAAGTTAATGGGAAGGTGGGCTGAGACCTATAGTCCAAGGGTCAAAAAGAAGTCTGAGAGGAAGAATAAAAGGAGAATTTAGAAACAAATGAGAACCCAGTTTGGAATAATTCAAAGCCTTACTTTACATAGTAGATTATAACCAAAAGGTTTCACAACCCAGTCATTTATATGGGCTTAAAAGGACTCAGGTAGAGTCAAAGGAGTAGACACATGACATGTAATTAAAGGAATCTAGGGATAACTCTGGACATCCCTAACCTTTGGAGCGTGAGCATCACTGAGGCACCTCTGCTCTCCAACACTTTGCTCAGGGCCCGCAGCCAAAGGGTACCACACTGACTGACATCCATCATGCGTAATGTGCTCTTGTTGGCTGAGATAATCTTGTGTTAATAAAACTACTTATGAAATACATCCAATAAATTGTCTCTTAATATCTCTGCTTCATTCCCTAATTTGATAGCTTGGGCAAAGGATTATTACGGGCCCTTACAGGGAAAAAAATGATTTTGAGGGCATTTATCTACTCCAGTCCTCCCTACCAACATGATTGCTCTTGTCACCCCTCTATCCTAGAAAAAAATGCAGAATTTGCTGTTAAAGCTTCAGGTTAATAAAAGATTAAAATGCATGCTGATGGGGTTTCTGCCTAAGCTACGATAGTATGTCTTGAATGTCAAGATCATGAGATAAGAGCATACGCTTTTAAATGCCATTCCCCTAAAACCTATAATCATCATTACAGATGCAGTATGTTTTGTGCCCTTCAATAAACAGCCAAATGATCCAAAGGCATAGAATGCAATTATTAGACAATAAAATGGGCTAGAGAATGTGTTTTTAATTTTAGTTAAAATAAGAATGAGACAATACATAGAACACATCGGATTTATTAAAAGAGAAACTTAGATACTACTATGAAGTACAAGGTTGTAGGAAAACTGGATCCCTCACTCATGGCTGGTGAGAGTGGACACAGAAGGCAACTTGACAGTAATATGAGAGCAGTTAGTGTACAAATTCCGTGTATGTTTTTACTATCCAGTAATCCTATTCCTGAGCATCGACAGACAACTTCTCACATGGGGTCAAAAGATGTCTATGAGGATATTTATCTCCAAGTTGTTTGAGGTAGCAAAATATCAGAAGTCAGAGTTCATGACAAATAAAATGGATAAAATGAAACCTGTGAAGGCTGCAGACTATGGCAGTCTACAACAGACATAATGAAACAGATTATCATATATCAACATAAAAAATCTCAAAAGCATGTGGAATGACAAAAATAAAAATTATAAATCTTACTGCATGGTATGAATTGTATGGGCCTTAAAAACAAACACAAAGCAACATCATTTAAGAATACACATATTTAATAAACAAATAGAAGACAGATTAGAAAGATATACAACAAACACACTATAATGAATAGCTATAGAAGAGGATGGGGGATGTAATAAAGGCGGAAAGTAATGAAACAGAGAGCCTCCCAGAAAGAGTGCAGGGATAATAATGGGACAGACTGAAGAGTAAGTTTAATTAGATTTTGTGCACCTGGTCTAATGGAGAAAGGGTTGGAAAGGACAAGAAGGGGAAAAAATAAGAAAACAAAAGAAATTAGTATCTTGATATTATAAAATTATAAATTACTATTTTTTTCTTTTCCCATAAAACAATTCATATTTGAACAATAACAAATGGAACATGGAATCTTTACTCAGTTACTACTTTAATCCTATTGACTTTAATCCAACTAATACAAATTATATATACAGATGATTCTTTTTCTTTGGCATATAAACTACCTTTTTCTTTTCCACACAAACTGACACCCACTGATTTATAGTTTCTTATTCTTATACTAAGTCTTATTCCAAAACTTGTCATTATTAATAATGACAATCAATAAAATTCTTTGAACTATTTACAAGATTAACTAACCTCAGTGTCAGATAACTTATCTCTATATTCAATTGGAATTCAGTGATTCCAAAACTCTAGAACTTTTAACTACTAACACTGCAGTTCTACATGTGTACATATATATAGATATACATATATGTAGATGTTCACATCCTCTTCTTTCCTCCCTCTGTTTCCTTCTGTCTTGTATTCAAAGGCTCTTACAGATTGACACAGGGAATAAAAAAACATATGTAAAAAAATGAGAATTATGATACAGATAGTGGTTTATAAACTGGTTTTTATGGTTGGTTGGTTTTTTGTTGTTGTTTTTTACTTAATATGTTGTCAGCTTTTCCAGTGTCATTATCCTTCCAACATGTGATTTAGAAATTTAGGGCTTTGCCATGATATTTATTTTAACAAATCTACTACTGGACACTTTGATTATTTTTAGATCTTGCTTCTTCTAAAAATTGCTGCAGTAAACACAAAATGGGTAGAGTTTAATGTTAAAAAAGGATGAGGAATTTTCAAAGGGGAGTGCATTAAAACAAATATGCCACTCAGAAAACCTAATAGGACTCAAATATCATTTGTTTACACATCAGATGCTAGTCTTCGTGGCCCTGTGAGGACGCTAAGCTTCCTGCAATTTTTAGATTGCATAAACACACTGGGCACTTTGTGCAATCAAGTGATAACTGTTTATGTAAATAATATTACCATTTCAAAAATAGTCTCTAAAAACAGTAAAGATGGGTTAGGGGGAGACATCTTCCCACAAAGAAAAATGAAAAAGCATAACATAATCCAAAGCTCTCTGCCTTCTCAACCACCTTAAATACTGTAACACTTGGGATGAAACACAATAAATAAAAGGATGTTATATGGAGGCATGTAAGACCTAGGTTAGGGTTTATTGCAAAACCAGCCAATCTAATTCAACAAATGCTGACACAAAACACTGGGCTGTGTCCTGCAGTGCATGCAAAAGTGAACGAGATGGGATCTTTACTTTCAACACAAGTATAATGTGGCACTGGCGGTAGGAGGGAAAAAGCAACTCTCCTAGAGAATAGTTAGAATATACTAATACAGCATGCCAGCATTTTTTAAATGAACCTTCTGTAGGAAAAATTGTACCTGCCAAAGAAAACAGCCTGGGGGTGGGGGAGGGGTGCCCTAGATATATGGGAAGAAGAGAGGGCAGCAGGACTTCACAATAGATCCAGATATGACAACAAAAATGACAACAAAAGCAATAGCAATTAAGAACCCAACGGAAAAGGAAAGTGGGTTAGTTTAAGGCCAGATGATGATGCCACATGATGAACTCTTAGGAGTGAGAAATGGAAACCACATCTTGCTGAATCATAAAAACCTTCAGGTGAAAGACGTCATCTGAAACAGGCATTGGCATCATGATGGGATGTCCAAAGTCCAAGGGAAAATGGATATGGGAGAATCTACATTCCCTGGACTCTCCGCAGAGCCTGTTCCATAGGTAAGATCTACCACAACACTAACCTCTTCCTAACCTAAACCCTCTTGAGACATAAGGGCACAGAGATGCTCAACACAAACCTTAACCTCCCAGAAATTAGAACGTGCACCTTGACAACAATGCTAGCCCAAGAGCTAATATCTACCCAACAGATAAAAAGGCACAAAAGGCATCTGTGCTGCCAAAAGGAGTTCCTCCGTGAAAGGCCATAATAGTTTATCATCAGTCTGTTTACTAATTTTGGCCCTGATAGTGAAGACTCATTGTGAGAATGATTTGGTAGAAATAAAAATGAGGATTGCTTGAGAATGAATAAATAAAAGAAGGAGATGTTTAAACAGATTATTTCTCAAATCTGGCTAAGCTTCAGAACCAGGAGTCCTGTGACTCAGCTCCATTATGGCACTATCTACCCTGAGATAGCATCAGATTCCACAAGTTCAAGGTTCAGTCTTAAAAGATACACACCCTCCCCTTCTACCCTGTCCTCCATCAGATGCCACCAGTCATAAGCCCTGGTTGTTACCTGTACTTCTGAGGACATGCAAATCAGAGATTCCCACAACCTCCTCCTTGGATTTGATAAATTTGCTAGAACAGCACACAGAGCTCAGATAAACATTTTACTTATCAAATTGCTGGTTTATTTAAAACAGAAATAACTCAGGAGCAGCCAGATGGAAGAAATGCACAGGGCAAGGTATGGGGAAGTGTGAGGAACACACCACCCTCCAGGCACCCCCGCATATTCACCAACCAGGAAGCTCTCTGAACCTTGCCCTTTCGGGTTTTCATGGAGGCCTCATTATGTACTCTCAATTGATTAGATCATTGGCCATCCTTGTTTGAGTTAAGCTCCAGCCCCTCTCTCAGATGATGGAGATGGGAGGTACTGACAGTTCTACCCCTCTAATCATGTGGTTGGTTCCCCCAGCACCCAACCCCCTCCTCCTCAGGTTACACCTAAGGGCTTTCCAATAGTCACCTCACTAACATGACAAAAGACACCTTTATTGATCTTAATTGGAAGCCTTTCAGGAGCTCTGTGCCAGGACTTAGTTTGAAGACCAAATGTATATTATACACCAATATTTCACTGTGAGTCTAAGTCAATTTAAGCCTTTTAAACAACATTCATCATTAAGTCTCAGAAAAGGTTCCTGAGCTGTTCCATTACCTACCTGCAAGTGCTGCTTTTCTGCATGACGTCAGCTCGATGATACCCAGAGAGTTTGCAAAAACCGTCATTACTATAAACTACAGGCCAATCTACAATCTGGGCATTTCCCAGTAAGAAACTTGATTCTAAAGAAGAAAGAAAAAAAGGAAGATTTTTAGCTTCATTCATCAATGTACTTCTTTCAAGTAATCGAAAAAATAAATTCATAAAGATAGACAAATGCAACTATGGTGTGCAATGGTACAAATAATAAAACTTATTCTTGAAATTGACATATAATGAGTTTAGTGTGATGATCAAATGAGATCTGCATTAAGTTCAAGATTTACATACAAACTAAAAACTCCATTGAAGAGAAAAAAGTTTATATAATGCCTCTTTCTATTCATGTATACTCTAAGCTATGAAAACAAAGTATGGTTAATATTAAATAAATGTTAATGACTATAATAATTATACCTAAAAACAGGTATTAGAGCTAGTAACTTCTTCACAAAAAGAGAACATTAGACTTAATAACTGAGGCAGTCTTGGGTGATTCCTCCAAAATTTCTATTAATATAATTTTGGACATGCTGGAACAAATATGATTGACCTTAAGAATTCTAATTTAAAATAACATTGTAGAGTTCCTTTCTAAAATAAAATTATTCAAATATATTATTTTCAACCACGTGCTACCACAAAACTTAGAAGCTGTCTTTAGTCTAAATAAAGAAACATTTCCACTCTGTTTTACATAAAGAAGTAGTTTTGCTTTATGTATAAAAATTAATACAAAAATAATCTTTTGTATCAACCTTGATTGAACATAAAACAGTCTTAGGCAATAACTTTAGCAATATTTAGATAACATGATAAGTATGTTAACATTAAAATGAATTAAAATTAAAATAATATCAAAATAGAAAAATAAAATTATTTTTCAAATAAATATTTTAACAGCACAAATTTTAAAAGAAATACTACATTTCAAAATACTCAATATTTCTTCTTAAAATAATCTTTGAACTATATTCAGAGTAGTATACTAAAAAGATTAATTAACTTATGAGTAGAAAACTTTAAATCCTGACTCACAGTTGGTCTGCATAAAAATCACAATGCAATTCAACATTTATTAAGTAGATGCTAAGTAAAGGCACTACTCTGGGTCAGACAATGGGCTACTATAAAGATCAATATAACATACCCTTTACTCTCAATAAACTTAAACACTAAGAAAAAAACATTTCATACCAATTACAATTTAGCAGAATGGATGTTAAATCAAGAATCGTAGTACAAAATATGGGGAAATAATCTGTTTTAAGGCACTAAAACCAAACAAAGGTAGGAAGAAGCTGAAAAATACTAACCCTTGAATAAAAGATTTATCAAATGAGATATTCATTTAACTGCCCATTCCCCTGTGAGCACTTCCCAATTTGTACAGTTCATGGGTGACAGAATTCAAGCAGAAAAGTCAAAGGTCACAATTTGGGGCTGCCAAGCAGCTTTAAAGTGAAAGAAGGAGATGCTTTGACTATAGAGCCATAAACCTGTATAGAACTGATCTCAAGTCCTTACCTGTGACCTAGACTGTATACACACAGGATAAGACTGCAAAGGAGCTCATCAACCCTAGAAAGGACTAGAAGACTAAGAGGCGGGCAGAAATTTCACCATGTCCTCAAGGCTACATGATAAATTTCAGAGTTCCAGTCCTATCAAGCTCAAGAAATTTGGTAAACTCCTCAAGATTTACATGCTTTGGGAGTAAGAAATAAGTCCCAGGATAAAGGTTTATGACCTGGAAATAAGATTAAAAATGTAGAATTCTTTCCCTCTCTCCCTCTCCCTCTCCCTCTCCCTCTCTCTCCCTCTCTCTCTCTCTCTCTCTCTCTCTCTCTCTCACACACACACACATACACACACACAGCTAAAATTATGATCAAGGTGACCCACCAATAATTTAACTACCTGCTAAAATAAAATATTCCCCTCTTCTGAGAAAAATAATAAAAATAATAAAATCCAAACTCTCCACAATGTATCAACCCAATACTCAGTATACAATTAAAACATGAGGCGTGAAAACACAGACCTGTGACGAAAATCAGGGAATAGAGGAGTAATTAAGAAGTCAATACTTTGAATATAGGGATAAACAATACAACCTCTGAAATTGAAAAATAATTCATTGAACAGGTTTAACAGTACATTAGACCATAAAAAAATAAAGGCAAATTTAAAAATGTATCCATGAAAGTTATTGCGAACAGAAGAAAAAAGAGTAAGAGATTTAAAAGATGTCCTATGGGACAATATCAAGCAGTCTTAATATATGTAGTTTAGTCTGGAAGGAAAAGTGACAGAATAAGGCACAAATGTTATGCGGATAAATGCTGACTAAAATTTTCCCAAATAGCATAAAAAGTAATCCACGATCTTAGCTCAGTAAACCTCAAGTAAGATAAACACAAACAAAGCCACAGTAGGAAAACAACACTAAAACTGCAGAAGATAAGCCCTGGCTGGCATAGCTCAGTGGATTGAGCGCGGGCTGTGAACCAAAGCATCGCAGGTTCGATTCCCAGTCAGGGCACATGCCTGGGTTGCAGGCCAGGCCCTCAGCAACCGCACATTGATGTTTCTCTCTCTCTTTCTCCTTCCCTTCCCTCTCTAAAAATAAATAAATAATTTTTTAAAAAAACTATTAAAAAGACTTTAAAAAAACTGCAGAAAATAAAAAGTAGAAAAAAAAGATACAGAGCCTCACATGAATGGTCAACTGATTTTTTTCTACAAAGATGCCAGGCAGTTTAAAGAGTAAAAAAAAAAAAATGTCTCTTCAATGAACTGTGCTGAAACAACTAGATATCCACATAGTTAAAACTGAACTCTGACCTCTACCTTGCACCACATACAAAAATCAAAAATAAAAAGGTTTAATGGGTCATTGACCTAAATACAAAAATAAAAGCTAAAAAGAAATCATAGGAGGAAATCTTTGCAACTTTGAAGAAGACAGAAATTTCTTAGATAAGACTCATATAGTAATCATCGTTAAAAGCATATGTGGACAAATACATTAAACATCACCAAAATTAAAATCATTTGCTCATTCAAAGACACTATAAAGAAAATAAAAAGGAAGACTACAAACTAAGAAAAAATATTCACAATATAGGCATCTGAGAAAGAACTCCTATCCAGAATATACAAAAGATTCCTACCAAAGGACAAATAATCCAATTAACAAAATGAGCAAATGATTTGAAGACATTTCACAAAAGATATACAATGGCCAATAAGCACATGAGATGTTCACCATCACCATTCATCAGAGAAATATAAACTGAAAGCACAATGATATGATATATCACTGCTCAACCACTAGAGTGGTCATAAAGACTAACAATACAAAATGTTAATGAAAATGTGAAACTCTTTTAAAACACTAATGCAAATATAAAATAGCCTGATCACTTTGGAAAACAATTTATTTGGGAAATACCAGGTATGACCCAGAAATTTTACTCCTAGGCATTTACTGAAGGGAAATAAAAAAGTATTTTAAAAAAAGACTTGTAGAAAAATGTTCACATAAAATGTATTTGTAGGAACCAAAACCTGAAAACAATGCAAATGTCCACCAACAAGAGAATGGATTAAAAACTGTGGCATCGTCAAACTCCTGTTCAGCCGTGGAATGGTAGAGGAGCTGCCAGGAAAGAGACAAAAAAAACTTTCTGGGCAAGGTCATCGTTCTCTATCTTTAAAAAGGTGTAAGTTACACAGATATATACACTTTTGACATAGCTAACTGAACTGTACACTTAAAATCTCTGTGTTTTACCTCATATAAACTATACCTCGGCTTTAAAAGAAAACACAAAGAAGACGAAGCACCAGAGAATCAGAAATTTTAGGAAAACAGTGGCATTTGAACTGAACCTTAACTGTAAGAATGGCAATACCACCTAGCCTTGGTACATAAGGTGATTAGAGTAGAAAATGAGCTTATTTCCACAAATGCTTCATAAAAAATGAATTTCTCTATAAATACATGATATTTCCTTAAGTGCATAGCATCGGTTATAAATATTTGTAAGATGATCACCAAAAATTAATCTTCTTTCCCATGTTAGTCCACACCAGGTTCATGACGAGCTACCTGTGGCAGTCCATCCAGCTCACTACAGGGTCTCCCTGCCTCAACTCATCCTGATTTTCAGTCTGATTTTCAGACTAATGTTCACTCGGTCCCGTGAAGCCCTGCCTCCATCCCACTACTCTTTATACAGACCCCCAGCTGGTTACACTGTCAAATAGTCTCCCAGACTTACAAAACCCTCTGAAATCCAGCCTCACCCTTCCTGCCCAAACAAACATATTTCTCACTAATCTTAAAGTCCATGCTACTAAAGTTAGGCCAGTTTCCTCGCTGTGTCCCAAAAATATACTCACTCATGTTGCCCACTGTCCATCTGAAACACTTCCTCCATCCCTTTGCCTGTCAAAACTTTTAAGAACCAGCTCAACTCCACTTTCTCTGTGACACATGAACTGTGTACCGCTCAGCCCACACCCCCTCTGGCTGCCACCACTTCTGTCCCCAGCCTGTCATGGGGCAAACCCACCATAAAAGTTGTCTGTTCTCACTGGTTCCATCTACTCAGCTCCTATTCACTCAACTCACTCCTTTCTGGCTTCAGTCTTTCCCACTCCCAAGACACCCAAGATCACCAATAACCTCTTCACATCACCAAATCCAAAGAATGCTTTTTACTCATTTCACTTGACAATCCAGAAGTTTGGTAACCATTCCCTCTTTTAAAAGTTCTCAATCACTAGCTTTCATAGAACAACATCCCCCTATTTCTTTGGACACGCCTCCATTTCCTTTGCAGCCTCAATATTCTTTATCCAGCGAGTATATATTAGAGCTCCTCCGTGTCAGCTCCTCTTACACTTTGACCTATCCCCATAGATTCAGTAACTCAGCATCTGATATTGCCATACCAGACCTCTTCTCTAAATTCGAGATCTCGATATCCAAGTTGACTTCTCCTCTTAGATATGGTAAATGGACCTCAGCAGAACATGTCCATGACTTTCACTATCCTAAATCAGGTACTTT